AAGAGATCCACCCGAGATTACAACTGGCACGAATACGTGGATGGAAGAGAGATAGATAGAAACCGAAAGAGATGGAGAAGGATCGGTTAGAAAGCAACGGTAATAGGGAGGGAAAGAGAAGAGGAGAGAGTTAAATAGAGAGCGAGCGATGGCGAACAGGGAAGGGTGATTAAAAGAGGAAAATCGCGTGAAACGAAAGCACGAGCAAGATGGGGAAAGTATCGGCTGGAAAGAGGAGTAGGGAGTAGGAATAGGGAGAGAGAGGGGATCAACGGAGGGAGAAATTTCGGCGCGTGTGTGTGCGTGTGCGCGTGCGAGTTGGAAAGACAGGCCGTGAGACTAAAGGTGCACCGAAGTTTCCGTCGTCTCTCGAAGAGGGACTCTCGGCACGTTCGTTATACGATCCGCGCGTAGTTGCTGGTGCGCGGCTACGGGGTCGGTGTTTCCGTGTCACGCGCACGACCCCAAAAAAGTGTGTATGTGCGTGCGTGGCTGCGTGGTTTAACTGCCGTCCGCGTTGCAGGCTTGCTTTTAGTTCGCGCGACCACGAACGCGGAATTTTGCCCGTGGAATATTTTTGAAAGGAAAGGACGAACGAAAGAAAGGAAAGAAGAAAGAAAAAACGATAGAAGAAACGATAGAAAGGAGGCGAGGAAAAGAAAGAAATCGAAACATTTTCACGAAACGGAATCATTATCGGTCGCGCCACCATCGCGACCATCGATAAAGATTGGTGGTCCAAAACCGCGAAAAGTGGATTCGTCGATTGTAACGAAACGTTCCAAACGTTGCTCCTTTTCGTTAATTTTCACGCCAATACACGCCATTTCAAACTTTTCTTGACTCTCGGAACGAGAAGCAGTGCGACAGAAACAAAGAACAAGGATATAAGAGAGAGGGAGGGAGAGAAAAGAAGAAAAAGAAGAGAAAGAAAAAAACGTTCATGGGTCGCGCGCTGGTCCACGCAAAACTTCCTTTAGACCCGCATGATAGAAACTGAGAAATTAAACAAACGGAATTGCATGTACCCATATCTCGTCTCTAATTGTAATTGAAACATGCTGGGTATTAAAAGCACGCGCGTGCGATTCTTCTTTCACGACAATTCGACCGAGTGAGTCGACGCGTCACGACGCGATTTCGAAGGTGCGCCACGGTCGAGACGATACGGTGCCACGAGGAGGACCGACCATCCAGCTCATTCAAATTTTCTCTGGGAACAACTTATCTCTCGAAATCCTGGCAAAGATTCGATACTCGTACAGTGGATAGATCCGTTACGGATATCCGAGTGAACCGATCGGACGCGTGATCCGTCCGTTTTGTGCCTCGTCTAGTGTTTCGCGTATCGAAACGGCACGAGTGGAATCGTCGAGTTTGTAGAAAAAAAAAAAAAAAAAAAAAAAAAAAAAAAAAAAAAAAAA